TTGCCAGCCCCATGACTATGGCCAAGCTGCTCAAACTCAGTTTCATCTTCCCTAAAATAGGGATAATAATCTCTGCAGTGCCTACCTCCTAGGGTTGTGTGCTACTCAAATAAGATGATGTATTCAAAACACTGTATGAATCTTAGATTGTGAGAGAAAAGTCATTGGTCTTATTTTTATTCTCTTCACCTTATTCAGCCCATCATCCAGATCTGCTGAAAGCTCAACCTGCTTTTAAGCAAATGATCTATCCAAGGTCCCTTCCAGCTCAATAAGTCAGTTCTGAGCAGGGAATTGTAAATGCATAAAGCCTACCTTCCAAAACTTCTCCATTTCCTTTCACGCTGGGCTTCTCAGAAAGAAAAGAAGCCACAGAAAGGGCTTTGTTGAGATCAGAGCTACCCAGGGAGCTGCTCAGCTCACTAGCCTAACATAGGGCTTGTGCCAAAGAGCTGCAGCATTAGACTGAAAACACTTTACTGGCCCCAGGATTTGTCAGTTGGTGCTTTGGAGGTACAGTATGGGGTAACAGAAAGAGTGTGCCACACTTCGAGTTGAGAGAACCGGATTCTAATTCTGGCTCTGCTACTTAAAAACTGTTCAACACTAGGCAGATCATTTTTAGGCTGTCCGGAGCTCAGTCAGTGGGCATGATGATCACATTCAAAGAACCTACCTCAGAGGTTTCTGTGAAGATCAAGTAGAATGTAAACTCCTTGCTACTGAAAAAACCAAGAATGGTTCAGGAGAACAGATAATGAAAAAAAACCAAAAAACAAAAAACAAAAACACAGAAAGGTGGGAGACTTCTAGGGCACAATGCTGCATACATTTCAAGATTTATCAGATATTTTTGCTTAACTGTTTTTCTTTGTTACAAGTGTGGGTTCTATGTAGAGGAAGATTTGGGGGCGGCTAATTTCAATAAGTGACTATGATATAAAAACATAAGGTCTCTACAGTTAAAAAACCAAGAACGGTCCCGGAGAAAAGATAATGAAACATACCTCCTTCCTCTTAGCAGAAAGGTAGGGATCTACTATGGCAGAATGTTGTATATTTTATTGGATTCAGTCATCCCATCAAGAGTTTTTGCTTAACTTTTTGTTGAAAGGAGGGTGGTGGTGGTGGTGGTGGAAGAGTATTTTCCAAAATGAAAATGAAGATGTAATGTGTCATCAATAAAACTAGCTCTTTGAAAGCAAGAACTGTTTCTTCTTTTGTCTTTACTTCCCTAGGACCTAACCTTGCAACTAGTAGATGCTCAGCAAGAGTTGGCTGACTGATTGTCAAATGAAATATAGCACAATAAAGTGGAGAGATGTTGGCTTTGGAGTCTGATGACCTAGACACACTCTGCCATATTTTTGCTAGGTGACATTGGGCAAGGCACTCTGGAGCTTCCATCCGCTCCCTAGACTGCCCTATCTCACAGCTTGTTGGGAGGATTAAAGGGGCAAATCTGCATGAATTATTTTTTCTGGCAACAATAATCAAAAAATAAGGTATTAGTAGCAATAATGATGGTATGGTAAAGTCCAGTTTACTTTCAATCTTCAAAGATCCTTCACTTTCAGATAATTGAGATCAAAGCATAAAAATCAGCACCTTTTTGAGAAGGCAACCTAGGAGACTCCAGTTGGTGTCTTGAGAGACTTAATAAAATAACAAGGCAAGAATGACCATGTGGTGGTACTGATTAAGCCATTGTGGCAGTACATTAAATTGCATCTGGACACAGATGTGGGTGGGAAATCTCTGGAAGCACTTTCTCTAGTCCATCCTTCTTCCTAGATTGGTGTCTTATGGATCACTTACTCCATGAAAGCAGGGTAGAAAAGGAAGGGTGGAAAGGAATCAACAGATCAGGGTGTTTTTTAGGTCTGTAACCAAAACTCTGGATTTATCAAAAGCATATATAATTCAACTGTTTCAAAAAACTAATGAAAATCTTTTAATTTTAAAATTGGAGAAAGGACACCTAAAATATTTCTCTGATAGCAAGACGGGCACCAGTCACAAAAATATCTTTTTTTCTTAAAAAAAAAACACTTCTAATTTACAATCTACCACTGGTTGTGCAAAGAATTCATATTTTCAGTTATCTATAAACTCTTAAATATACTCAAAATTCATTATTAAAGATAAATAACTCAGGGCCACATGATTTTTCAAACATAAATGTTTACTAACATAAATAGTTTAATAAACAAAAGGTACAAGATTGTTGTTGTTGTTTTACTATGTACAATAGATACAATATGTACATGAGGAAATGCTTCCTGCCTGCAAGACATCAAGACATTTCATTGTTTCTAAAGAAGATTATGGAACCTTCTTCCTATGGAACCATTAACCATAGTTAGGATGCTCTAAAATGGTCATTGGTGCCTGAGGGTAAGAAGAGGGGCTTGGTCAATGGCATGCAGTCTTCAATCTTTGAAATATAGATATATTTAAACATCAGCTTCACAGAGTTCCAGTTTGCCTAAAATTACATTACATACTATAAGCTGTTTTAAAAATAAAAACATGAAGGGGGGAGGAGGACTTCCAATGAGATTCCTATTTATTTAATTAGATAGCTCTTTCAATAGGCCAAAATCTAAACTCCTTGAAGATAGTGAGGGGGTATATCTACAATATCTCCCTCTGTCACCTACCATGATGCCCTATACTTAATTATGTTGAGTGAATAATCATTACCAAAAAGAAAGCACTTATAGGACTGAATCACTTCTATTTATTCTTACACTAATAAATAGTTTAAACTTCCACTATGACTTGGGGGTGACCCTGGATTTCTGAAGGCCACATAAACCAAGCACAGGCTCTGGTAGGTTCTACAAAGTGGACAAAGCTTTAGGTCTAGCTTGTTTGTCATCTGAGTACCTAGGGAAGTTTGGAGAGCTGGAGGATCCCTATCAGCACAGCTGACCACCAAAGTGATAATTCTTTCAGCAACAGTCACTCATGACACAATCTAAAGCACAGAGGAATTTTAATGTATATCACCCATACAATTTAAGTCATGGCTCCACAGAATACTGAAGTCTAGAACAGAGATGACTTGAAAAATAAAATACCTCTGAATAACTTTTAAGTTACAGTCAATTCCAATGATTACTATATATCTTAGGCTTGACAGCCAGGGACAAATGACAGTACGTGGGTGATTTTGTCGGCATGTATGCCCAGGATCCCAAGTGCTTGGTTTTGTAGCAACAAAGAGTATCTTCACTTTTTTTCAGGGAGAATCAGAAAATCTTGAGAAATGTCTTCACAACAAACTTATTTTATCTTTTTATTAAAAAAATAAATAAGATATACAAGCATTTTTCTGGATATGGGAGGGGAGGAATGAATGAATGTCACAGAATCAAACATATAAGGAAAGGCTGTTAAAATTACAAAGAACATTGGGAATCACTGTTTGCCAAAGCAAGTGCAAGTGTCTCTCAAGTTTTCAGTCACATGTAGTCATTTCATGGCAATGGGCAGCCATGTCCTGAATTGGATGGAGCAGAAAAGTCAATTATATAGAAGCCCTGTCCAATGCTCATTCAGGTCAATTTACTGAGAAATCAGTATACAAATACCTTTGCTTTTACATAACCTGAAAAACTGGGTGTCAATTGAATTGCTTTTTAATGGGCGGGGGGAACCTAGTGTTGGAAGGATTCCTAAAGCAAATCCTTTTGCCAATCCTATTTGATCTGTTTTTAATCAATCCGTATCTTCGTCTATCAGATTTGCCTAAGGTGAAGTACAGGTGCAGTCAGTACCCACCTCTCTGTGGCAGCTGCATACTCTTTTAATTAGCTGAACCCCAACAAAGCTGTGTTTCTGTATTTAAGTAGTGTGAAAAGGCTGGGGTCACATCCTGGGTGCCTCAGAGCATCCTTTGCATTTGGAAAAGCAACCACAAGTTAGGATTTGGAATCATCCCCTTTCCACTAATGGATCACAATCAGCATTACTGTTGAGAGTGCCTAATATGAACAGGGCACTGCAGGACTTCTTTGTTCAAGCAGGGCTCACATCTCTGCAAAGTAGGGCTTGGGCTTTGAGTCACAAAAAGTCCAAGGTGAGAATGGGGGAGGAGGAGCTTGGGACTGTTCCATAGCCAATGATGGTACTACCTCTGACTCTGAGTCAATGAGTTACTATTTTCTTCTTCCACTCATGGTTGGTGAATGAGATGGAGATTTCTTTTGCCGATTTCTAACAAAGCAATGCTGACATGGCATGTCACTGACTAGGGAAGAGTTTGGCTGGTGACTGACATTTTCTGAAAGCACTGACAATTCTGGTTTTCCATGGAACCCTAGATGACTTCCCATAGAAACCCACAGAATTCTATTGGACCTGGTCACCAATCAATCAATCAATAAGCATTTATTAAGCGCCTACTATGTGCCAGGCACTGTGCTAAGTGCTGGGGATACCAAAAGAGGCAAAAGACAGTCCTTGCCCTCAAGGAGCTTACAATCTATTGATTTTTTGCTAGCTTGTTCCTCTCACCTGTGCTAAAGCAGCTGAGGCCATAGGACCTGAAGTCAGTGGTCCATATTCTTCTTTCTTTTCTGCAGGCTTGACTTCATCATGTCCCTTATTTAACCTTTCTCTGGCCTAAGCCACTATTTCCATACTTCAGTTGGTATGATCAGTGCTCCATTTTCAAAACACCAAAGTTGATGTCATGACTTTCTACACACAGGTATAACAGGACAATATAATCAACCGTACTTTCCAACCAGAGTACATGGAGAACAGCTAGCAAATAATCCACCAGCCTGTAGTTGGTTATTTTTTAGCCTTGTGGTATGTGTGTTTCTGAGGTTTCTTAAAAATGATCTCAATTCCCAGTCATTTTTTTTTAAAGCTCTGGGGGGAAAATGAGGAAAAACAGGCAACAAAAAAGGAAGACGGAAAAGGAAAGAAAGGAAAAAGAAGGATAAGATATAAGGGGATATTACAGAGAAAGGAAAGGGAAAGAAAGGGAAAGAGAAGAAAAAGAAAGAAGGAAAAAAGACAACAAGGAAATAGGCAAAAAGGAAAAACAGTAAACAACAAAGCTCTGGGCAATGCCTTCTGTTTAGCACTCCCTTCCCCGATTGCTTCCCCTCCCACCCCCAAAACTGGCTACAAATGCTGGACAGGACTTATTTCAAATAATTTAGCAGAATCAAAGATTTTCAAATAGTGACGGTGTTACTGACTTCTTCATACTGGATAACAAAATACGGGTAGCTCTGATCATCATTAAAAATGACAAAAATCTGAGGCTCAAAGTAATTATCCACGCAGGAGTCATACAGGTCACTGGTTATGCTGTCTGGATTCACTGGAGGTGGTCTTCTCATATTGTGGTTGCCTACTGTGTATCTTCCAGTTAGCACTTTTGCCAGAAACATAAAATGGACCCCTTTGGGGGACCTCTTAGAGAAGCTGTGGGAATAGCTGGCCTTCCTTGCAAAATAACTGCCTTGTCCAAACATCGTAGCGTGTTTGCCGCACACGCGTGGGTCAAAGTTGTGCTTACAGATACCATCCACCACGTCTTGGGATGTCCCATGGAAGAGGTGCCGCTCATTCATTATCCTGCTAATGTCATTGGCTTTCTTAGACATGTACTCCTTTTTCCTGGTGCAAACAGGGATGAGGGAATTGGAAGAAGGAATAAAGAACAGCTTTTAATGGGCGAGATCTGGTAAAGGATTTTATCTTTACATTTCTTTACTTCATTAGAGGAATTAAGAGAAGTAGTAACCCATTTAAAAGTAAGGAATGACAAGGAGCCAGTGGTTTAAGGGGGAGATTCTGAGATGTCTATTATAGTCTGACTGAAAGGAACTGTATTGGCCTTAAATGAACTAGAAGGACCATCTTTGAGTCACAGGAGAATCTACAATTCCCTAGGGCAGTGCTGTCAAAGCCAAAAAGAAATGGGGCCAACACACTATACATAAGGATTCCAGTTGGCTGCATATTGACTTAGAAAATCACATATTGACATTATCTCTGTTTTTATTGTATTTTAATTTTTTTTGGTAATATTTCCCAATTACATTTTAATCTGGCTAAGACTATATTGTTGTGGGCGAATTTTTCCCCTATCCCCTGGCTGAGTGCTGACACCTCTTCCTCGGGCTCTCTGTGATATACTTCATTAAAGTGATGTTTTGGTCTTCTTTAACTCTAACTCCCAGTGTGGTGCCTTACACACAGTAGGCACTTAATAAACATTTATTTTGAATCAAGCCTATTGCCATATCTAAGCTGGCACAGGCTATGGGAGACAGCATGGTATAGTGTAAAGAGTGTTGAATTTGAAATCAAAGGACCTGGATTCAAATCCAGACTCTTCCACTCTATGTAGGTGATCTTAGGCTAACCACTTAAACCTCATCAGGCCTCAGTTTTCCCATCTGTAAAATGAGTACCTTTAATTGGATGGCTACAGAGGTTCCTCTGTGACCCTATCACCTTTCTGAGCCCCAGTTTCCTCATCTGTGAGATGAGGGGGTTGGTTTGGGCTCTGGCTCCAAACGTAAGATCTTAGGAGATTTTCTCATTCTCTATGGAGCTTTATCTCACACGTGGAAAAGGGAAACCATCCTTTCCCTCCTTCCTCTCTACTAACCTCTAGCTCTCCTCCTTCCGAATCCTGCTCAAATCTCGCCTCCTGCAGGAAGGCTTCCCTTATTTATCCCATTCAAACTCTTTGCTTCTTTAGTTTCTGACTTTTCTCAACACTCAACTTGCATTATATTCTTACCTTGGATCTTGCTATCAAGCCCTCAATTATGAACTTAAGTGAAAAAACAGACTTTCCTGAGTTGTTTACACTTTATTTGTCCTTCTTCAATTAACCCCTCCCTTTTCCTGTTTCACACTGTGCCCCCCACCCCCAGGAAGTGGCAGGGCTTTGACTCACCTTTTATACTTTTCCCAAAGAAACTGGTTCTGCACTCTCAGGATTTTCAAGATTCTATATTTAATCTCAGGCACAGTCTTATGAAAGAGATTATAGATGGTTCGATAGCTTTTGTCCTCCTTGGAAACAGGCACTTGGATAAAGTCCTGAGATGGATCCATAGCAATCCAGGTCTCAGGATAAAAGTTTGCCGAGGTAACTACGGATGGACAGAAGACCTGGGATGAGGCTGTTTCCGCTGCAGGATGAGGCAATGGGGGCATACCACCAAGGGTCCTGATTTGGGAGAAAAGAAAGTCCGTGTTTACAACACTTTGAAATAAACAAGGTTTGAGCTCTAATTGGACAGTCACAACTTAACGCTTTACCAAAGGGTAAAGGTCTTGTTTATAGCTTGGTAATGATGTGCCGGGTTAGAATTTGCAAAGTGTGGATGCTTCTTTCAAAAAAAAAAGCATAACAATGCCAGGTAAGGAGGGGGAATGTAGCCAATGCTGTCTGTAAGCCAAAGCAATGATTAGAATTTTCTTGGTCTCCTGTCTGTGGATGATTACTGTGTGTCAGTCCCATCTCCTCCCTGGCCTTCAGCCTCTTCATCTATAAAACAGAGGGGATTGGATTGAATGGTCCCTGCAAGTTTAGACTGCAGATCCTCTGAAGGAAGGCAGGAGCAGCTTGCTACAAGGCATTCAGTAGACTGTAAGTCAGAAACATCTTCCCTGCGGGGTCATCATGTGTATCTTAGGCTTGTACATTCAGAGAAGCTCATCTCAGCAATGCTGCCCTAGGCTTATTTGGTTTCCTCTAAAACAATCATCAATGGAGGCAGGAATGGGGGGAGTTAAATTGTTTTTATCTGTTACTTTATTTAAAATATGCACAAGGCACCTAAAGTTGACAAGGGTATGTGACTCTAGAGCCCACACACCATGCCATCTGAACATCCTTGTCAGCCCAAGGATACCTAGTGCCTTTTCCCCTGAGCAAATACACACGTCAGTAAACAATTGATTAAGTGCCATCTGGGGGGAAGCAGCACCCCGGGTGAGACAGCACGACATTTTAAACATCAGGCTTACACATCTTCTTTTCCAGTCATTGTTATAAAATACCTCCCCAGCCAGCACCCCAACTCATTTCAGCTATGAGCAAGCACAGACAAGGCTGTCTGACCTTTAAAAGATTTTGGATTTTACATGCCATTACAAAGTTACCCATTCTGGAGTGTTAAATCATGCCTTTTTGGTAAATGACAAGAAAACAACTTCAAATCTCTCCAAACAAACCATCAACTGATTTTTTTTTTATTAGAATAGAGGGGCAAATGGGAGTGGGGGTGGGGCACTAAGTAACCTTCAAAACTTTTCTCCTTGGAGGAGAGAACATCTGTGGGTACAAAATGTTGCTTGTGCTGTCAGAGGCGATTGCTTGGTTTTAGTTAACTATTTTCTTTGTGACAAAGGAAGGTGAATTGAGTTGTAGGGGAAGAGATCAGGGTTATGCCAGAATGGTGGTGCTGTTTAAAAAACAAAAAGGCGAAAAGGTTTCATAAAACATCAATAAAAAGAAAACAAAAAGAGGAGGGAAAGGTGATGGGTAAATTGAAGGCAGCCTGATTGCTGCATTCTCTAAGGAGGGCAGCTTAACCTGGGGTCCAGGAGCTTTTAATATTTTTAAAATATTTTGATAACTATTTCAATATAATTGATTTCCTTTGAAATCCTATATATTTTATGCATTTAAAAACATCATGCTGAGAAGGGGTCCACGAGCTTTACCAGACTGCCAATGGGTGCAGGACACCCCACCAAAAAGATCGGGAGTGCCTGCTGTACAGAGAAAGGAGCCTGGATCTGTGCCCCTTTCAATTCACGTCAGTTACTCTCAAGGACTTCCAGCCGAAACAGCAGCAGCAACCTGGAGCAGCGGCTGATTTTCACCTGATTAAGAGCTTACATGTAATCAACCTTCTTAACCATTTTCATAAAAGGGGAAGAAAGAGGGGGAAGGAAAGGGAGTGAGACAGCGAATGCCCACACCTGGCCCCGGTTCCGGGGCCAGACAAGTATCACTGCTCAACAGGAAACAGTCACGAGGACCCACACAGGCAGGCAGCAGGTGGGCAGGCAGGCTTGGCCCTCCCATGCTTAGGGTATTTTCATCCTAATGAAATGATGTGATGCAGGTGGGGCAGCTGTGTATGGGCAGGCACCTACTCCCCAGGGGGTGACCTGGCATGAAACCACTGCTCAGCCTTTCAGACCAGGCCACCCCAGACATGAATCTTCATGAGTGGGAGGCTTGGGAAATGCACCCAAACCTAAAGACCTTTACTCAATAAAATCAGACACAGTCATCCCAGAGGCACAAGGACATTAGGTCATCTTCCTCAGTGTTGTGGGATACAGCAAACAAACAGAAGGCAGTCTCTTTTTTTCCCAGACGCCTACAGCTAGTTGAAACCATAGCCAACCTCTCCCCTCTCCCGCTAAAGTAAAGACCTGAAGAATGCTTACTTACAAAGAAGCCTGTGAACACCTAACTCTGAGGGCATGAGTGCTACAGAGGGAGCTGAGTCTCCAGAGCCAGGGACAGGGGGCAGCCCATGGGTTATTTGTATGGAGTCACAGAATCCATGAATGCTTCCCAGATTCACGGAATGTTAACAGCAAAAGGACTTTACAGCCTCACATTTATCCCTATTGAATTGCATCTTATCTGATTCAGCCCAGTGCTTTAGCCTAGCAAGCTTTTGAGATCCTTAATCTAGATCCTTAATGAATTTGAACTTTCAACCAACTGCAAATCCATTTAACTGAGGCAGCCAGGTGGCACAGTGGATGGAGTATTGGACCCACAGTCAGGAAGAAGAGTTCAAATCCAGTCTCAGATACTTCTTAGTTATGTGAACTTGGACAAATCACTTAATTGCTATCTGCCTCAGTTTGCCTGGCTGTTAAATGGGCACAATAAGGATTGTGTTATCTCATAAATTATACATATATATGTATAAGTATGTATGTATAAAAATGCTAGCTCTTACTATTACTGAAAAAGAGCCTAGACTCCACCTCACCATCCTTCCCACAATAACACGAGATCTTTTATCAAACGCTTTGTCCAAATCTTGGTAAATCCTATCTATGTGATACCTATCATCTACCAGTTTAGTAACTTTGTCACTGAAAATGAAAACAAGTTAGTCAAACACGATGTGTTCTTGAAGAAAACTAGCTGGCCCTTTGTCAATGTGAGCCATGGGTCACGACTCGTTTCTGGCTGATCACTGACCATCTCTTTAATGATCTGACCTAGAATTTTTCTAGAAATTAAAGTCAAGCTCACTAGGCCATAGTTTGCAGTCTCTATTTTCTCTTTTTGTTGTTTTTTAACCAGAGATCTTTGTTTTTCATCAGTCTTGAGTGCCTCTCCCATTTCCCACCACCTTTTGACAATCACTGAAGTGATTCAACCAATCGTATCCACTGCAGATGCCAGGAGATCTGAATTCACCAAGGCCAACTAGGTACTTTCTTCCCTGATGGTCCTTGATTTGCTACTTACTATTTCTTTGACCTTGGTTAAGACACTTGATATCTCTAAGACTTAGTTTCCCTATCTCTAAAATGGGGATAACAATAACTGAATTAAATGCTTCACATGAGGAAAACTTTTTGTAAACCAAGTACTGTAGGAATGCGAAACAATCATGACAGTTATGACAACATGTAGTCATAAGAAGCACGGTGACTTAGTGGCTAGAGGGCCAGCTTTGGAGTCAGGAAAGACCCAAGTTCAGGCAACATCTAGTTATCTGAATGAGGGCAAGTCACCCAGCCTGTAAGTGACTGAGGAAGCTCTAGAGAAGTTGGTGATTAGAAGAAGCAAAGGGAGTTTCTATTCCATGCCTGGAAGTCCTCGAAGTTGAAATCACAGGTCTAGTCCAAAATGTAATAACTAAGTGGTCATAAAGACCAACAGCTCTGTAATAAAATCTGATAGCAGCAGTGACAAGAAGAAATAAAGCCTCAAGATAACCCCCATGGTAGGAAAGAAAGAAAAAGTAGCTGTGAGGACAAGATTCCAGGAGACAAGCAGAATTTCTGCGCTGGCTTCCTTTTTGCTACAACCTTGTCTGGTTTTTAAAATGACGTGCTTAATATGAATCATTTCAGAACAGTAGCTATCATTAGTAATAATAATAATAATAATAATAACTGACCATTTATATAAAACCTGACATGGTTTTTACAGCTTTGTTTCACATACAATATCTCATTTAAAGTGCTGAGCAGTCCCCACCCACTGGTTTCCTTGGTACCGTTCAGCTCTGGGGCTCCCCAGAAGGTTCACATAGTTTCTCAGTCCACTCAGTCTTTGGGGTAAGGGAGAAATATCACATCTCCTTCAAGTGCACCCACCAGACATGGGCCATGGTCTCGTAATTTTAGGCATGAAGACTCGGAACCAAGGACACACCAGTCTCCTTCACTGCCTTCCTCTCGCTTTGCCTACCAATTTCCTACAATACACATACTCTGCTTGTTTTAATATTCACACAGGCTTAAGGAGGGACACCCGTAAACATGTCTTATCCCATCCAGATTCTGCTGGAAGTCATTTTCGCTTTGCGAGCCACCCCTCTCCCCCTACAAATGCCTAGACGCTCATGGCTAATGCATGAGGCAGCAGAACTACAGTTTCCTGAGAAGGTGGATGATGACAGTAAGTCAGGATTTCTTCTCACTAGTATTCCCAAAAAGAGCACTTCTCACTCAAGAGAACGTCAGGCCTGTATGATGGCCATGTTCTCAGTTGTTGGGATGTTGAAGATCTGAAGTAAAAGATGTTTGCCATATTCACTCACTCACTCATTCATTCATTCAAATGTAAACTCCTTGAGAAGTAACTATTTTTGCTTTTTCTCTGTATTCCCAGTATTTACTGGCCTACAGTACTTGTTCAGGGAATGCTTACTTATTGATTCATTCATTTAACCCAAAACATTTATTAGACACCTGTTCTGTTCTAAGCACAGTGCAAGGGGCCGCTTATGTTCTCCTGGCTGGGAGTTCAGGGTTTGTAGGTATCACAATGGTATGAATCTGGTTATCCTAAATTCTAAGCTTCCTGAGAACAGGGGCTGTGTGTTGCATGTCACTTGCCAGAATTCAGCACAATTCTCTAAGCATGCCAGTCTTAATAAATGTCTGTCATATTCCTGCATATAGTATAAGGGTCATTCATTTTCCAGACGATCTGTAGTCACTGCCTAT